CCTAATCCTCTGTCCCCTTCCCCAGCCCCCAGCCTCCTCTCTCTCTCTCTCTGTTTGGCAGCAGCTTCTCCACTCCGGCTTCAGCGGTGTGGGGGAGGGGAGGCCTAACCATGTGACCCAAGGCGCTCCCCCATTTGGCTGGCAGACGAATTGTGGATTTTTGGACAGGCGGGTCTTTAGCTAGCCACTGTTATTATTGATGCACTGGGATTGTCCTTCGCTTGAAATCACTGGCTTTCGGGTTTTGCAGATATGTTAACAAATGTCATATTGATTTATTAAAATTTGGAAAGAGGGTACCTCTAGTATGTGTTTGTATTCATTATTAAATATTAAAATATTAAGTATTAAATATTTAGCTGCAGTGAGTAATTTCTTAGTTTTTTCCCAATTAATTTCTTTTAATTTTTTCAGTTTTTTTTTTTTTAGTTCCGTTTTAATTAGCTTTCACTTTGTAATTTTTTTGATTTTAGCATTATTATTTTTTTCTCCAGGATTTTTTACTTTTTACCTTAGGGCTGCCAGTAACTGGTATTTATTTATTTATTTATTTATTTATTTTAAATAAATTGTATTATTACTATTACAGTTTATTTAAAACTAAAATTAATTTGTGGCCATTTTTACACCCGTTACACCCCTACAAAATACATTTCTAAATAAATTCACATGGCAGTAATATTTCACTGTTTTGGCAGTATTTTTGTTCATGTGGTGGTGTTATTTATGATTCTAAAATTAGATCCTCTTCCGAAAAAAAAAAAACAAGAAATATCAGAATATATTGCCTTTCTTGCAGTATCGCAAGATACCGTATCGTAACCCCTGTATTGTGCTGTGCATCGGATCAGCAGATTCTTGGTGAAGCACAGCTCAAATCACCTTTGAACCAGAGGTGTTAATTCCATTTGACACCGAAAATACACATTTTAGCATCAAAAAATGTGTGAAAATGTGAATTCAGGTGTGGTACAATAGTCCTTTTTCCTCCAGTCTTGATCGTTTCCTCGAATACTCTCCTAACCTGTTCCTGTCCTCTAAAAGCGCAGTCCCTGTAGAGAGCTGAATGTGCACTTCATTTCAAGAGCGCTGACACACAGGCATTTTTACGGCCTATCAGAAATCAAAGACCTGCGAGCTTTTTGTGTGCTGCTTGGCAAAAAAAAAAAACGTTTCGTAGCCTTAATGGTCACACCCCTGCGGTGCCGTCTTGTGTCCTACTGTCCCAGACTGAACTATCCTGTTGGAAGGGAGAGACATGGGCAGGCCTTAAGTGTTTGGCGTGCCCGTAAGAGAAGTACTGTAGACAAAGTTATTATAAGTGAGCGAAATGGTACGAGAAGTGAAGGATGGTCCACGTGATGGAGAAAGGGAGGGAAGCCCAGAAGGAACAGGTCACTGCAGGCCAGGGGTGGGACTAGAGGAAAGGAGAGGAGGGGTTCAGATGGAGCCCAGCAGTAAAGAACAGTGTGTTCTGTTCATTCCAGGGCAAGAACTGTTTGTGCTGTTATCCGTCACACAGTGAAGTGAAAGCAATAAGCAAAGATGCTGAGCCGTGTTATTTCACAGCGCAGAATAAGATCTGGTGCTTCAAAAGAGTGTGTGTGTGTCATTTGCTGAAGGTTTGAGCAAACTTTGGCTTGTGGTTGCACTTGTCACGGGTGTGTTGTGTCGGGATGTTTACTTTGGTGCCCGGGTACGTTTTAAAGGACCTCGTGTTTGAAATTGGATTTTTGTGGCTTGAGTCCAAAAACAAGTGTTTCTCTACTAGGAAAATGAACTCGCTTTTCTGATGACTCATCTTGCACTTAGGGTCGTGCGCAAATCAGATGCTCTCTTAAGTGAGAATGTAACATTGTAATGGCAAGTAACAAGTTATGATTCATGTCTGTGACGAACTTTTTTCAATAGGAAATGTCAACACTGGAAAAAAGCCATATCATGGGGTCCTTAACTGTGTGTGTGTGTGTTCCTCACACACACACACCATATCGTGTTTCCGGAGCGGATAGATTAGGTTGTCCACTGTTTGAATAGATGCTCCTTCATTGAAGGATTGTTCCAATATGAGAGATTAATGACTACAGGGGTGGGCTGAGCAGCACTGGGCTAGTTAAGCGCTGTTAATGATCATCACTCTGCAGTAATTAATTTGGAGAGCTATAAGGTAATGCATTTCATGGATACAACCTCCAAAACCAATAGTATTAAAAAGCGTTTTGGCTTAATACAGAAAATTGATACTTAAAAGTGGTCTTTGCTGTCATATCAAGAGACTTGGGTGGGCTATTTGGCTTCTTGGACCTGTTGGAAAGCAACCCAGAATAAACTAGCAACACCCTTGCATTGTGGAAAACACCACTAAATATTTCTTATATCCGACAATCGATATAACATGATACATTTTTGAAAATAAAAAATGTAAAGAAATGAATTGGATTTTAATTTCAATTTTTTTCTGCATGTTGTTGATTAAAATGTAATGCTGAGCTGCGTGCTAATATTGATCATTATTTTCCAAATAAATATTCTAAATATTGTTTTTTTTTATATATATAATTTTATTTTATTTTTGCATCAATTATTTAATAATTTTATTTAGGTAAAAACATACTTTTTATATATATTTAGTGTATTATTTTAATTAGGGCTGTCAAATTGATTAATCGTGATTAATCGCATCCGAAATAAACGTTTTTGTTTACATAATATATGTGGGTGCACTGTGCATAATTATTTTATATATATATAAATACACACACAAGGCTTGTATATACTGTATATAGATTTATATATAATTTATATTATATATAAATCTAAATATTTTATATACAAATAATATTTTTTTCTTAAATATACATGCATGTATATGTATATATATATTAGGGCTGTGCAAAAGTTAATTGCGATTAATCGCATCCAAAATAAAAGTCTGTGTTTACATAATATATTTGTGTGTGCTGTATATAATTATTTTTTATATATAAATACCTATGCATGCATGTAAATATTTAAGAAATATTTGCGCTAAAATTTTGTATATATTTATAAATACATAATCTATATTATAAAAAATATAAATATTTTATATATGAATAACACATTTTCTTAAATATATACATGCATGTGTGTGTGTTTATATATACAACATAATTATATACAGCACACACAAATATATTATGTAAACACAGACTTTTATTTTGGATGTGATTAATCGCAATTAATTTTTGCACAGCCCTAATATATATATATATATAATTATAATAATAATAATATAATATAATATAATAATAATTATAAACAGTGCATCCACATATATTATGTAAACAAAAACTTTTATTTTGGATGCGATTAGTTGTGATTAATCATTTGACAGCCCTAATTTTAATACAATATTATTTTATATATAATTTAGCATTTCTATTGCAATATAATAATTTATTTTTTATTTTTGATATGACATTTTCCTTTTTGTAAAATGATGAAGGGTCTCCATTAATGACCCAATAAACGAACCACACAAAAAACTCCAGTAGAAATATTCAACCAGATTACGTTTTACGGTTCAAGGTGAATTTTGTTTGTGGTGGTAGAGGGGGTCTTTTTTTGTTTGTGATCATCACCTATATATTATGCATCCTTGGTTGTAAGAACACGCGCCAACCATAAACAGGCAAGCATGGCGAAGGGGCTGAAATCAGGCGCAGGTTTAATAAACGTCTCTTCACGCGGACGAGCTGGTGTAATTGCTAATGAAAACGGCCACACAAGCATGTAAATATTGCTAAGCCTGCTTCAGTCAAGTGGTTATCAAAACATGACAATGGAGGATCTCATTTTGTCGCTGCCGCCCACCTCCCTTTTTCATCCTCCGCTCGATCCTCTCATTATCCCTGTAGGTGAAGCTCGTTCTGATCAACTCTGTCACTCCTCCGAGTGACTCTTCTTCCAGCCCCCCCTCGACTCAACAGCGTTCATCCACCTTTCTTTTGCAGCTGTGGGGTGTCTGACCTAAATCTGCGAGGAAGGAGAAGAAAATGGAAGCAGAGAGGGATGTTAAGGGGAGAGTGTTGGAGGTGTGGGCGGATGACAGCCGTTGATGTTTTTAATTATTATTATTATTTATATATTTTTTAATGATTCTCCTCTAATAATTAATGAAAAGTGGTGTTAATGTTGGCGCCTGACCTAAAGAGGGATGTTGAGGGGACAGTGTTAGGGGTGCGGGGCGGATGACAGCCATTGATGTTGGCGGCAAATTAGCATGTGCGCTAATCAAGCTTCACCCCCGAGAGTGGAGACAGACGGAGAGGCAGTGGGGTGGGGCGGAGGGGGTCTTGTTGTCATTATTAACGTTGTTCAATCTAAATGGACACGCACAAAGAAGCACCCTCTTTGGTCAGAACGAGCTCCCCGATCGCTTAAATAATCGAGCGGGGTTTTGTAGAGGGCTCGGATCTCAAAGCGAGAACCTTTTCTTTTTTGAAATCAAAGCGCTATAAATAGCCCTCTCCGTCCTTCCCTCCCTCCCTCCTTCCGAGGATCCCGCAGTAAGACGTAGCGTTCGGGTCGTCCACGTCGAAACGCGCGGGTCACGACCCGTTTAAAGCTTTTGGCTTTTGTCTCGGGCGACGCAGTCTGGAGAATGCTCACACACTGACTGCGGTGCAGCAGCCCGAGAGATGCCACATGCTGTCAAATCTCGCTCCTTTGTGTGCGGCGCTGGCTGCATTTGAAACCGTGATTGGTGGAAAGGCTCCAACTCGAGGAAACGATTGCGAAACCCACCCTATGAAAGCACGGAGAAAGATGTGCCGGCGCAGCCGGTTGTCGATTAACCCCTCGTGCCTCTGGGCAGAAGCGCAGCCGTCTGAGAGCCCTGCGAATGAAAATCGGTTAAAGCCACTACGGTCTCAGTGAGTCGAAGCGGAAACGGAGCCTTTGTTTTGATTGAGTCGTGTCACTCTTAACGTGTCTGTGTTTCTTGCTTTCTTTTGCAGACTGCCTGCTAGGTTGAGGAGATTCGGGGTGCCCCATAGACCCCTAGGTTCCTCCGATGAACCCCATCAACTCCATGAAACCTGCCCTGCCTCCAACGCCACACAGGTCAGTGTCTCCTGCACGTCAAAGCGTGACTCGCCCACTGTTTCCTCTCCAACGACATTGAACTCTCAAACCCCCTCAAACTGACACCTGCTTCCCCGAGCGCTGCATCTAACAGTCGAAACAGCACCGCTGATGTTTTGATTGTTGATTTTGCATATTTTAACTGCTGTTTGGTAATAGCTTCAGGGAAGCAATGTGTTTTAATTGTTTTGCAGTCTTATCTGGATGAGAGATTAGCCTTGGCGTGCAGGTCAATTGTTACGAATTAGGTTGTTTTTTCACACTTTTAAAATGAAAGTTTTCAAAGATGGTTCTCATTTGAACCTCATTTGGCTGTAAACGGGTCCTCGAGTTGCTATACGGTTATTTGGACACTATAGGTTTATTTTTAAAGGGAATTTACACCCAAAATTGAGCAATCTGGCATTTACTCATCCCTCGTGTTGTTTCAGACCCATATGACTGACTTTCTTCTGTGGAACACGAAAGGAAGCTAAGCAGAATGTCAAACATGATTTTAATCATCCAATGAAAGTTAATGCTGCACATAAATATGACCATTTTATGTAAATATATCATGTATTATGCGCTTTAACATCTATCTCTTGTGTGTTCCACTGATGAAAAGAAGTCATACAGGTTTTGGATGACACGGCTGTGAGTAAATGATGACAGAATTAGCCCTTTTAAGAGCGCCTAATTCTCCAAACCAGCAAATGGGTCAATGACGTGACGCTTGCTTTTTCTGTCCGACTGAACTTTTTACCAATTAATAAACATTAAAATTAATAAAATTATAACATGTATGTCTACCACCTCCCTTATACATATGCCCACTCTTATTTCTCTAAAAATAATTGGTTTATTGGCATTTTCTGCCACCTGAAGTGTGAAAACATCATGTGGGGCGACCGTCCGGACTTGACTTCTGTTTGAACAACTGGTTTTAAATCAAACTAAAATAATTTAAATATAATCCTTACCCTATTTGGCATAATTTTAAACGTGTTTTCCATTGATTGACAAAGTTATGAAACATTTGTACACACATTTCAATCATAATAAACAAACAAATCTTGTCCGAAGATGTTCATTATCTGAAATATCATCTGGGGCGACCATCAAGAAAATACAAATAAGGGACTTATATTCTGATAATCATCTCAAAGAGGATGTTGCATCAGCCAGCCTCATGGTGAGGGTCCCACAGAGACAACTAGCAGGTGAGTAGCCACTCTCATTTTTACAAACAAATCCTCTTTAAAACTGCTGCAGTGTATACGTCACATTTTGATATCATGTGGGGCGACCAACCTAAAACTGTAAATTATAAGTTTTATACGCAAATCTTTATTTTTAAATTTGTAAATTGTAAATTTGTCAGTGATATGTGGTTAGAAGAAGCTAACTTGGGCTCTATAGCTAAGCATTAGCCTGTTATACTTGATTAAACTTGAAAATATCATCTGGGGCGACCAAGCATCATGTGGGGCGACCGCCACTGATTGTTTAAATGATAGAAAACACATATCATGTATTTGTAGTTTCTGTATGCAAATGTTTACATTCATTATATGCATTTAGTTGTTTTAAATAACTTTCTAAATTTCACCACATATTTTTTCTAAATTTCAATAATTTCCCTCCTACTTCAGAGAGGGCTAAGCTTACTTCTTTTTGATTATTATGTTTTTTATCAAAGAAATGTGTGAATATCAAGCATTCATTCTACTTTTTCCAATTCTTTTTCTAACTCTGTGTATGTTTAAATATACTTTTTTTTCTAGATGGCCCCACTAACAAGCAAAGAAAAGACTGCTCGCTACAGGCAGCGGAAAATGCTGTTCAATGTGTCTGCAGAATGCTGCTATGTTCAACTGTTAAATGAAAATAGTAATGAAAATGCAAACATTGTATGTTTAAGTGATTAATGGAATGAAAATGAAAAAGGAAAATGCTGTTCAATGTTATGTCCAAGCGTTTAATGCATTAGTATTGAACATTTTAATATGATGGTTTTGTGTCAAATGAAATAGTGAGGAAACTGTTAATGTTATGAAATGTGTCAAATGAAATGGATATGCTGATTCTTCATAAAATTTCATTAAATATGCTGATTCTTCATAAAATTCCATTAAATGTGTTTTAACTATCAAAATCATTGAATAGTCTTAATTGCCTGCTGTTTTTCATCATGTGGGGCGACCATTTGTCATGTGGGGTAACCAACTATATTCAATTCTGCAGTAAATTCAAAAAATAATGTCTGTCCATTTTGGTTGAAATATAATTCATTGGTATAACATCAATAAGTGGATACTATATCTACACATTTTAAATCAGTTTTATGGATTATATGAGTAAAAAAAATATGTAATTTCTTTATGAGGGTGACACTGCCATTATAGATAAAAATGTATTTAACATCATTTGCAATAAATGAAAGGACACATGAGTATATCTTTCTTAAACAGTTCAATTAATTACTGATACTTCTTAAAATATAACTTATGCAAAGGAAATCTATTAATTATAAGATAAATTACGGTCGCCCCAAATGACTTTTTTAAGGTCATTGCCCTATTCATTTGAGTTTAAAAGCACTAAAATATCTTTGTTTGAAGTTTTCACACACATGCATGTGTAGACTACACTCCACATGTTTAGAAAATAGACAAATATATTATTATTTCAAGTATTTTAAAAATGGGCCTCTCAAAGGCCTTATACGTCATTGACCCAAATACCTAATTGCTTAATGTGCTTTGGCTATTTTAAAGTAGATTTTAAGCTTTCATAAATAATTTTGTCTTGTGCAGGCTCTCGTAAGTAGGTGTACTTGGCACGTTTTCAGAAGGTTTAGTGCTATTTGAGCACATAAATGGAATCACGTTGCTTCAGAGGCGATAATGAAGCAAACAGTCTGAATATGTAAAGTTGTCTTTGCTCTCAACGCAGTAAACTGAAGATAAATTGCCCACAGCAGCACATGCATTGGGGCCCAAACTGAATCCGCACGCCCACATCTTCTCCTATTATTTGCAGAGCTCTCAATCAGCTTCAGTGTTGAGTTTTTTTTTTGTTTTGTTTTTTAATTTTGATTGGCTGCTTCCTCTCTCAGCTGCTGATTGGCTTCTAGCGGGTTTGGCTTTGAAACCACAGTTTCCTGTTTCGGCAGAGAAGGGGTATCTGGTGGTTTTCCTGCAGAGGAACTTTAAGAGAAACCTCTGCCTCCTATGGAATGTCTCTAAGCTGCCGAAAGTTCGTTTTGTTTACTTGCTAAAGCAGTGCAATGACCAGCCTCAACGAGACGCACGCTTTGAGCCTTTGCTGGAACCTCAATATCCTGTGGGCCGCAGGCCAGTGGATAACTTTGCCGCAGATCGAAGTGGAAATGTGTCGAGAAGGGGATCTTGACTTTCTACGAGGGCTTTAAAAAGAGGAGTCTTTTATGTGGCAGTGGGGTTGAGGTGTCTCGGGTCAGTCGGGGTGAGAGGCTGTTCAGAGCCAGTTGTCACTCAATAAACCCTCGCAGGTTTCATTTGCTTGATACTCTTGTTGCCGCTTGGATGGCTTTTACCTGGAATGCTCCCTTTTGGTGTCCAAGGTTTTTTGCCAGTCCTGCCAATGAGTGGTGACTAGAGATCATTTACTGCCCACTGTATTTTACTTGGATTTTTCTAAATAAAAGTACTATATTTACTGTATTTTTCAAATAAATGCAGCCTTGGTGAGCAGAAGAGACTTCAGTACAAAAAATATTTTTTAAAATCTTACAGACAAGCCTTGCATGTTAACCAATGTACATAAGCAAAAATATATATATATAAAAAAAAAGACAAGTCTCAATATACGTGCTAGTATATGACGCACTGAACAATGACAATACTAGGCTTTTACTACTAGCCACACTTTGTTAGTATACTTTTTTTTGAGTTTTTATTGCTGTGTGTGTGTGTGTACGATTACAATGCATCACAATATAGCAATTGAATTGCGGCTGAAACTGACTAAGCTTAGCAACAAAACCTTTTTGTTCACTTTTCACCTCTCACTTTTTTGTTAGACTATAACAAATCTTATGAATGTGCAAGTATTGGTACTGAAAAAACTCAAGTATACTAACAAAGTGTGACTAGTAGTAAAAGCCTAGTATTGTCATTGTTCAGTACGTCATATACTAGTACGTATATTGAATTTTTGAAAAATATTTTTGCTTATGTACATTGGTATACATGCAAGGCTTTTAATGTTTTTGTACTTAAGTCTGTTCTGCTCACCAAGGCTGCATTTTTTTTTTTTTAAATACAGTAAATAAATATAGTACTTTTATTTAAAATAACTTTTTCTATTTTAATATCTGTTAAAATATAATTTATTCCTGTGATCAAAGCTGGATTTTCAGCATCATTACTCCTGTCTTCAGTCACATGATCCTTCAGAAATCATTATAATATGATGATTAGGTGATTTTCAAGAAACATTTCTTATTATTATCAATGTTGAAAAGTTGTGCTGCTTAATACTTTTGAGGAAACATGACCTTTTTTAAGCATACTTTGCTGAGAAAATTCAGAAGAATGTCATTCATCTGATGTAGAAATCTTTTGTAACATCATACATATCTTTACTGTCACCTTTTAGTCAATTTGATGCATCCTCAATTAATAAAAGTATTTAAATATTTACAGAAGTTTGCATGTTACGGTTCTACTAGTTCATATAACAAGTTACCAGCCAACTCTTCTTTATCTCAGATTGGTCATTTTGGGCTCTGTTCTATCCTTTTTGTGCTTAATGGACTTATTGGGCACATTTCTATCCGCCAACAAAACCTTTTTTTTCTAATTTGTTTGCACCCCTAAAATGCATATCTATGCGAGTTCTGTTAGAGCCATATGTGTGCACATTTTTGCCCTTTAATGTATGGGTAGACTAGACACCATATTTAACTTGACACGAATGAAAAAGAGGCTTTGAGGGGTAAATTGCACAGTGTCGTAAATCACGTCTAATTTTGACATGCTTTTCAGAATGAAGATGTACATAGTACAACTGATTGAACATTCTTCCCTCGCAGCCTCGTTGTAATTCAAGTCAAAGTAAATATGCCGTTGACTCTAACTAAGGTGCGTTTCCATGTTCTAATCAGCATGTGATGTAGTTTGGCTAATTATGGAAAGATGGCGAGCGATTATTGAGAGCGATCTGGTTTGATCCAGTTACACAGAAAACAGTAGATATACACACACACACACTCTTACTCTCTCACCCCCCTCTCCCTTGGCATCGTTACTCTTTCCTGTCTCTAAGTGACTGGAGTCGCCATGGAAACATTGTGCCGAGTACCTCCAGATCATGTGGCTGTGGCACGTCTGAAGTCGCAGAAAGATCCTCTCTCTCTCTCATACACACACACACATTCACACCATATGCTGATATCATACCAAGACAAAAGATGTAGATGGAATATAATGTGGATTTGGTTATGGATAATACGAGGCAGATCAGTGCAAAGTGAATTAAGAGCTTTTTGTAGAGGAAGCACTCAGATGCATTAATAACGCCCGGTGTCTGTGTGTTTCTCTCGCCCCGCAGTGACGCCTCTTACCCATATGATCCTGTCCCCTGGCAGCAAGGCCCCAATCAGCCTGCCGGCTCCCTCTCTGTGGTAACCACAGTGTGGGGGGTAACCAATCCTTCACCGAGCCAGGTAAGAAGGAGTGATGACCTCACCAGCTTGTTTACCTTAAAGCCCAGAAAGCACTGCATGTCCCTGGGATGTCCTGGTCATGTCCGCTTCTCAAACAAAACATATTTTTTTCTTTTGAATTTTGTTGTCAATGAATCCAGAGTTGTTCTTGTTTAATTGAGAAATACTTATAAATAAATATAGTAATTAATAAATATTAAATTCTTATAAAAAGAATGAATGAATAATTTTAAATGGGTTACTTTATTTTAAAGTGTCGTTGTTACACTGTAATTATACATTTAAGTGCTGAGTAATATTAAGTAACTACATGTACATGTCACAAGTCGCACGGGTATTTTTGTGGGTTAAAATTACCGAACATTTTCCTACCGTAAATATATAAAACATTTATTTTTGTGAAGAGTGAATGCAGCACAGTCGCGAACATAAATGGATAACTTTAAAGGCGATTTTTCTCAATGTTTGGATTTTTTTTTTTGCACCCTCAGATTCCAGATTTTCGAATAGTTGTATCTCGGCCAAATATTGTCCTATCCTAACAAACCATACATCAATGCAAAGCTCGTATAAATCTCAATTTAAAAACAAATTACCCATGTGACCCAGGTTCACATATGTTATTGAACACACTACTTATATTTAAAAACACAAAAACAATTAGATATGTGAACAATGCTTTAATATTGTGGTTGTACTGTATGGTCAGACACTTGCACATATCATGTTACAAGGTTTTTGACCAGCAAATTTTGGACATACATATTTTGTCCGTTATTAGAATGGCCTTGATACTTGATGCAGGAAGGGCGGAGTTTTGAAGTTTGAGGATCCAATGTAGTAATGAGGTTTAGTCACAAGCTGTTTTTGCTTTTTATTGGTTAGATATTTGCAAAATTCACGGGCAGACGTAAAGGGAGATTTACTTAATTTACATAGCAATGATTTATGAAACAAATGACGAAATATGGAGATGCAATGTTTCCACCCGAAAGTGACGATATACAGTATTATAATAATAATATATAAAATCTAGATTAATCGCATCCAAAAAAAGTTCACATAATATATTTGGGTGCACTATGTAGAATTATTTTATATATATAAAAACACAGATGCTTATAAATATTAAAGAAATATTCTCATGTATATACTGTATATAGATTTATATATAATTTATATTATATATAAATATAAATATTTTTTATATAAATAATATTGTTTTCTTAAATATACATGCATGTGTGTGTTTATATATATATACATACATACATTTATTATGCATATATTATGCACCCATATATTATGCAAACACAAACTTTTATTTTGGATGCGATTAATCGTTTGACAGCCCTAATAAAATCTAAGATATATCAGCAAGTAATACCAAACAAAATATGGGTTCAAATATACTTGACTAAGCAAAAAAATTCAAAATATTCTCTTTTCGCCAGGTTTTTGGTGCTCCCATGGGTCCAGGCGGAAACTCAGCCGGTGGTCACATGATGCCTGGCAACAGCCCGGGAATGAACTCCCCGCAGTTCATGAGCCAGCAGGGCTACCCCGAGCCCAACAAGGGCTACATGCAGCAGGGCATGTACGGCCGGCCCAGCGGGGGATACCCAGCCGGACCTGGATACGGGGGCAGGTGAGGAAAAGCAAATATTGTCTGTGTGATTGTGTGGCTGTATTTAGTCTCTGCTCCTCGTGGGAGTTGCGTGACGTCAGGCAGCGAGTGGACGTCACCACAGTGGGGGATGTGTGCGCTGTAATGTCCCACCCCTGCGCTGACTCAGAAACACACACTCACACAGTTGTGTCCCTTAAGATCAATTTGCATCGCGATAAATCTTTTGAATCACTGACTCGGAGCAGTCAGCATCCCCCTTGGCTTGCCAGACCACTCACGCAACACCGTGCTGCCACGACAATGTGAATAATCAGTTCCACTTACGCCACCTCCAATTCAAGTCTTGCATTCTGTACTAATGAGCTGATAAGTTGAATCCGGTGTGTTAGGTGAGGGAGGGCTCCCCACTGCTCTACATAACCTGTCTGCCTTCCCTTTAGTTACCCCAATAACGGAGGGGGTTCCCTCGGGATGCCGCCCCATGGAGTTCGTCCGCCCACCGACTTCACCCAAGCGGCTGCCGCTGCTGCCGTGGCCGCCGCCGCAGCCACGGCGACAGCAACCGCCACGGCAACAGTCGCTGCGATACAGGAGAAGCAAAACCAGGAGCTGAACTACGGCCAGGTAAGCGACCTGACTTATTTGTGTTCACATCATGTATGGTTGATGTGAACGGCACTAAAGGGAAGGTCATTGGAATAAATCTCCCCGTGCTTAAATGTTTTGGAAATAAATCCTGTCCCCTTGTTTTTATTTTTTTTAAATGCTGTTAATCTGATTGCTGATCTTTTTTTGTGTGGTAAATGCTTTGCACTCCACTTCAGCAATCTTGTGTGACACACAGTAACCTCTGATTTCATTGCGCTCAAATCGCCCCCTGCTGGACGAATGTGGATCAACGAGCCCTGATTCCAAAAACATGGCTTTAATTATTGCAACAAAAAAAAGCAAAGTATGTTCCCCTCATTTTTCCAGCAGATTTCACATGCCGCTTGTCTGCCTGGGTTTAGATGGCAGACATCATGGCCACACAGGACTTTGACTGTTTACGGTGGTGACCTAGTTGCCGTTTCCCTTTCATGCCCAGGGCCCGACGGCCATAAGTCACGGTTGCAGGCACGTCTCCAGCCATTGTTACCCAACGCTGGTTCTGATGGGTGTGGATCTCTCTGTTGTTTTGCTCTACAGATGGGTGGCGCTTCCTCTTACAACACCCAGTTCCTGTCGCACTCTGGACCCCGTGGGCCGCCCGGCATGGCCCCCTCCGGGATGGTCGGCTCCAGACCTCCTTCCATGGGACCCATGTACACACAGCAGGGCCAGAGGTTGCCCCAGCATCCCGTCTACACAGGAGGCCAGCAGGGTCCTCCACGCCACCAGCAGGGCTTGAAACGCCCCTACAACTCGGATGTAAGTGGAGACTCGCTGTTTGCCAACTTGACCTTTTAGATGTCATGTTCCAAAACCTGCATAACTAGACAAAACTAGACATGCTTCCGACAAGAAGGCTGTTCCACTTGGCTCTATGATGCACAAGCCAATCTTTTTTTCGAATGGCTTTTTTGTTAGGGTTAATATTATACACTAGACGTTAAGAGGACTCGACATGATAACCTCAATTAAAAGTCCAAAAATATGAGGATAGTGCTGACAACTTATTTCAATTCCTGGAATGACTGTTGTTCTTTTCTTACAGGGATTTCCAGGACAGCAGTACGGTCCCGGTATGGGAGCTGGGAGCCCGTACCCAGGCCAGCCCATGCAGTACCACCCTGGGCCACAGCGGTCCGCTCCTTCCCCGTCTTACCCAACACACCGAATGCCCCTCCAGCAACCCAATATGGGCCAGTATCCTGCAGGACCAGGAAACCCCAGCCAGTACTACAAGGTACAAAGATCATGAGTATTATTGATCACACACAGTCAGTATTTGAAAAAAGCCCTCCTATGATTAAGCAAGACACTTCAAATCAATTTAGGTACTTTCTGAAAGTTATAGTCATATTTTTCCGTTTGAAAGCCATCCGAAAGCTTTCACTTGCAAATCGCAACACATTGCAGGCTGCAAGCAGTGTCATGTTTCCCAAAGAACAGGTTCCTTTTGTCCGTATTAGTGACAAACAAGCTGCCGTTTTTAGAGAAACACACTGGCATTCGATACTGACGAATAAGGCAATGAACTTTAAAAAGGCAACTAGTCGTGAAAAGATTTTTTGGTAGTACCAGTGAAACCCGAACCAACCCAGGTGGTTTAAATTCCATTCTGGGTTTGGAATTACAGCGGTAGATTATCACCATTGTCAAAGCGCTGTAGTGTGCACTTCAACATGCTCAGTCAGGGTCCTTTCCAAAACCTAGTGGGAATGCAGGTCCAGATTTTAAATAGAAGATACTTTCTAATGTATGCATTGCAACGAGCTCTCTAAACTTGTGTTTAACCGGGGGTTGGGTTGACTCACTCTGTTTTAAGTCTGATGTTGAAAGAGTTGTGTTTGCTTAACAGGCGGACCAGTTTAACGGACAGGGCAACAGCCACAACAGCCTGTCCTCGGGAGTGACGGGCGCTGGGTACACCACCTTCAACCAGGCCACCGTCAACGGGGTTGGTGTCCTCTCTTGCATGCATGTGTGTTTGGTGAAACATGAGTCGGTTGGAGCTGCCTGTTAATATTTCACCATTTCGTGAGCACGGCGATTGGACTTTGGCAGCTGGGGTCCAAACTCCACACAGCTGAATCTGTTTTTGCAGTGTATCGGTTATGAAAATCTGACTGTAAAGATAATTTGGCCTCAGCTTGTAAAGCATGCACACGTGTCTTGTTTTTTTCCACAGCCTGGACGTGCGATGCCAGGATATCCCAGCTCTCCTCTCCCAGGAAACCCCACTCCTCCCATGACCCCCGGCAGTTCGATTCCGTACATGTCCCCCGGTCAAGACGTCAAATCGCCCTTCCTCCATGACGTCAAACCCAATATCAACTCTCTGCAGCCCCCTACAGGTAACGCACAGCACTGCATGGAAGACAACACCCCTCCTATCTCTGGAATCCTTGTTTAGAATTCTCTGTGATGTAAATGGAAATAAAAAAGTTTAATTGTCAAAAAAGTTTTCCCCCTCTTTTCTCACATAAGAAAACACTATATAATGCTGTTTTATTCCACATAAGGGCAGTGTTGTGTTAATATTTATATGCTATTATAATATTTATATGACATATAAATTATATCATATTTATATTATTTGAGTTATTTTATTTTTATTTCAGTTTTTATTTTTATACATTTTATTACTTCAGCTTAATTTAATTCAGTTTGTTGCCAAGGCTTTATTTCAATATTTTATTTTAAACTAGTGCTGGGCGTTTTTTGGGGGGGGTTTTCTTTCAAAAAAGCCGTTTTTCCAGTTTATGACTTTTTTTCATTTTTTTTTTCATGCATAATCAGGTGTTCAAAGCATTTTCTAGTGATTGACTGGAGAATTACTGCAATAAATTGACTTTGGATAGTTTATTTTACTGTCATTAGTTAATATTGTAGAATAGAATAGCGCCCAGTATAACCTAAAATTGTTATTTCTTCACGTTCTAATAACGTTCTTATAACCAAGCAACGTTAATACAACGTTTATATAACAGAATTGAACGTTCTTATAACCAAGAAATAACGTTAATACAATGTCTATAAAAAACTTGACGTTTTGAGTGTTTCTAAAACATTCAGAAATAACGTTTTTATAACTTTATGGGAACGTTATGAACCCTAAAATTGTTAGCTGGGGAAGAGGAGAGATTCGCGATTGCACTGAACACTGAAACAGTGTCGTGCGGCACAGCATAACGTTGTGTAATTGTGTTGTGTACCGCCCAGCACTATTTTAAACTAACGGTTTTTAATAGTTTTCGCTTAGTTAACAATAACAACACTGCAAAAAAGGGTTTTCCCCATCATGTTGAGATCACATGACCAGTATCCTCATTTCTGTAACCCCCTATTATGAGATGCTATCTGCTGTGGCATAAATAATGCACCTGTGAAATAAGGTATTATGACATTGTTTACTTTACAAGAAGCTAGAATCGTATCATCCAGAGAAATATAATAGAAAAAAGTCCTTTTCAACGACTAACTTGAGGCCACATCTAGAATTTTTGGGAAATTCTTGTTGTCTCTTTCCCACTTTGCCTTTGTTTCTTGCCAGATAAGAAATGATTGAAAAGCACGTGGCACCCCAGTAACTGAAACGCTGCTCTTCTGTTCGTAGGAAACCCCAGTGATGACCTGCGTCTGACCTTCCCTGTACGGGACGGGGTGGTGTTGGAGCCCTTCAGATTGGAGCACAACCTGGCCGTCAGCAACCACGTCTTCCAGCTGCGAGACTCCGTGTATAAGACTCTTATGATGAGGTCAGAGTGCAACATCTGTCCCTTGTAGCCTTTTGTGTTTGTGAGTGTTTGATGTGTCAGTGTTGTCGTATTGAATATTTAATGTGTTTAACAGGCCTGATCTGGAGCTGCAGTTTAAGTGCTATCACCACGAAGACCGGCAGATGAACACCAACTGGCCGGCGTCGGTGCAGGTGAGCGTCAACGCCACGCCTCTCACCATCGAGCGCGGGGACAACAAGACCTCCCACAAACCCCTTTACCTGAAGCATGTGTGCCAGCCAGGACGCAACACCATCCAGATAACGGTCACAGCCTGCTGCTGTGTAAGTACAGAGATTCACATCGCGCACGTTGACAAACAGCCCGACTAATACGCGCTTTATATGGGTCAGTGTTCATTTCCTGTTTCTTTTTTCCGCGTAGTCTCATCTGTTCGTGCTGCAGCTGGTTCACAGGCCGTCGGTGCGCTCTGTGCTTCAGGGTCTGATGAAGAAGAGGCTCCTGCCAGCGGAGCACTGTGTCACTAAGAGTGAGTAATGCCATGATCTTTTGCACTTACACTAAATCCAAAAGATTGGGGGATGTAAGAAATGTTTTTAAGTATTTCAAATTCTTTAATTCAGGACACATTGACTTGATCAAAATGACAATGAAGACATACACTACCGGTCAAAAGTTTTAGATCAGTAAGATTTTTTTATGTTTTTAAATGAAGTCTCTTCTGCTCACCAAGGCTGCTTTATTTGATGAAAAAAAAAAAATGAAAAACAGTAATATTGTGAAATATTATGACAATTTAAAATGACTGTTTTCTATTTTAATATGTAATTTGAAAGCTGAATTTTCAACATCATTACTGTTGCTGATTACACATTAGTTTTCAGTGTCACATGATCCTTCAGAAATCATTCTAATATGCTGATTTTATGCTCAAAAAACATAAATTATTATTTTCAATGTTGAAAACAGTCGTGTACCATTTTTTCCCCAAAAAGTCTATGATGAATAGAAAGTTCAAAAGAACAGCATTTATTTAAAATATAATCTTTTCTAACATTAGAAATGTCTTTACTGTAACTTTTGATCAATTTAACTCATCCTTGATGAATAAAAGTATTTTCTAATTTCTTTCCCCCAAAAATAAAAAATAAATTCTTACTGACTCCAAACTTTTGAATGGTAGTGATTAATGTTACAAAAGCTTTCCATTTCAGATCAATTCTATTCTTTTGAACTTTCTATTCATCAAAGAATCCTGAAATAAAAATGTAAAAAACTGTTTTCAACATGGATAATAATCATAAATGTTTCTTGAGCATCATATTATAATAATTTCTGTAGGATCATGTGACACTGAAGACTGGAGTAATGATGCTGTAAATTCAGCTTTGATCACAGGAATACACAATTCACATAGAAAACCGCTGTTTTAAATTGTAATAAATAATTTTTTTTGGTATTTTTCATCAAATAAAGCAGCCTTGGTGAGTAGAAGAGACTTCTTTTAAAAACATAAAAAATCTTACCGATCTAAAACTTTTGACCGGTAGTGTATATAATGTTACATAAGATTTCTATTTCATTTTTAACTTTTAATTCTTTAAAAAAATGTATCATGGTTTTCACAAAAATATTAAACAGCAAAAATTTGTCAACTTTGATAATAATAGTAAATATTTATCAGCATATTAGAATGATTTCTGAAGAATCATGTGACCCTGAAGACTGGAGATGTTGAAAATTCAGCTTTGATCACAGAAATAAATTACATTTTAAATAATATTTCACAATATTACTGTTTTTCTGTATTTTTGATCAAATAAATGCAGCCTTGGTGAGCAGAATAGACTTTCAAAATCATAAAAAAATCGTACCGACCCCACACTTTTGTGCTCATCCTTTTATCTTCTTCCACAGTTAAGAGGAACTTCAGTAGCGGTACCATCCCAGGAACTCCCGGCCTTAACGGCGAGGACGGCGTGGAACAGACGGCCATCAAGGTCTCGCTCAAGTGTCCGATCACCTTCCGGCGCATCCAGCTTCCTGCCAGGGGCCACGACTGCAGACACATACAGGTGATGAGGCCCGAAGTTTAAATCACATGACATCATAAAGTGAGTTTCTGTGGTAAATAACGTCTTTGTTTGTCCATAGTGCTTTGACCTGGAATCGTACCTGCAGCTCAACTGTGAGAGAGGAACTTGGCGTTGTCCTGTGTGCAAGTAAGAACATTCTTCCCCTCTTGCTTTTTATCTTCATGATATTTTTGTTGTTTTAAAAAATAATTACGGATGCACGATATATCCATACCTTAGTAGTTGTCTGACGATATTAGACATTATCGGGAACAGACATCAATGGATTTATCATTTTTTATACATTTTTAACTTTTTTTCAGACAACACTTTTCTGAAAAAAAAAAGTTATTTCAAACTCTAAATTTAAAAACAGAATGAATATAGCTAAACATTCTAACAGTTACACAGATTAATTTGAGTTTTTATTCTGTTTTTTTTTAAATCTAGACAAAATAGTATAGAATTTTTATATTTATTTTAACAAATATGTATTTATATTATTGTATTAATAATAATAATTTTAGAATATTATTTAATACATATTAAATACATAAAAACATTTTATTTTAATATTAGTTTATTTTTGATCATAACATGAAACTAGTTATTTGGTTATATCATGGTATAATATCATATTGCATATCAGTGCACCCCTAAAAAATGTGTTTCACATTGTATATATCTGACATATTTGTACAGTTTTACAAACTCATTTGCTCCTTGCAGTAAAACAGCTCTTCTGGAGGGACTAGAAGTGGACCAGTACATGTTGGGCATTCTGATCTATATCCAGAAGTAAGTTTCTTTGCAGAAATGTTACCTCTGTAGCCTCTAAACTGTGATCGGAAAATACGGATATCCTAAATTATACTTTTATCAGTTGTAATCTGCCAGTTGTACATCGTACAGACCGTACATGGCCTGTTTGCTGACCATGTTGAAGTGTACTGCACACAAAAATGGCAAGATCTGGGTGAAATAGGCCTATATCCAGTATGATTGGCTGGAATATACCCAATTTCCCAGTGTCAGAGTGCACAGATTGTTGTTTACAAATTCCCAGGCTGTTTTAACCAGCATTTCCACTGGCTGCCTTATTTTCCAAAACTGCAGTAGTATCGCAAGTATTGTCCAGTTTGCACTCCATCAAAGGTTGTCAGTTGATTTATGTAGTGGTCAGACATCCCCTTCCTGTCTAAATTAAGCTTTTTGGCCAAGATAAGCTGCAGTGTGTTCTGTATTTTGAGTTTTTAACTTTCTCCTTGTGTTTAGTTCGGACTATGAGGAGATCACCATTGATCCGGTGTGCAGCTGGAAGCCAGTCCCGGTGAAACCAGACCTGCATATTAAAGAGGACCCAGACGGCCCTGCCCTGAAACGCTGTCGCACCCTGAGCCCTAGTCATATGATCTTGCCCAGCGTCATGGAGATGATTGCAGCTTTGGGCCCGGCCTCCTCGCCCTACCAGTCTCTGCCACAAGGTGGCAGCAGCAGCACGCCTGATTATCCCAGCCAAGGTGTGTGACGCATCTGATTGTAAAGGCCTCATGAGGCCCACAGAAGCATTTATGTGCTTATAAAAATGTTTCAGTGAGCATTTTATTATTGAATACTCTGCTTTGGAGTCATAATAGATTTGGATGAAGTGTATTTTGACCTCCTGTCGATCTGTTGTCGCGTATCTTTCAGGTGGCTCAGGATACTCCAACCAACCAGGCTTTTCGGACTTTCCCAATGCCCCTGGCACACCGACCCTTGGGGAGTTTTCCTCCGGGCCGCCCCCACTGTCCTACCAGTCTGACCTGCCGAGTGGGCTCCTTACCCCAGAAAAACCTGTGGGACACCCGATGTCAGGACAGGTGGGCTTTCCTGTAAATACAATTTTTACCATAAGAAATTGTTAAAGTATGTCTGTCTGTCTGTCTGTCTGTCTATTCAGTAGGGCTGCATGATATATCGAAATATTATAAGTGCACTTATCGCAATATGCATCTGAATGTTTTTAATATGCTACTTCAAAGTTTTAGGTCGACGCATATAGCAGAGAACAGACTGGGTACGTGACTGTGATTTGCCTGTGACTTACTTGACATTAAAAATGAGTTCATGGGATGAGAACTCAATACTCGCGCTGTCTGACACGCACACAGAAAGCTGACTCTCAGACAGTGTGCGATCTCGAATTCGGTTCTCTTTCGCAGCTTATTGCACTCGAACGGTCAAACGCACATGCCTGTTGTGGCGAGTAATCATGTAAACACAATTGATTATGTCTTACAGGAGAACTCCGGCGCAAAATGAACCTTTGGTCTAATAAAACATCGGTACCTAGTCACCCGATCTCTGAGATTTGTTTTCATGATAATCGAATGTAAAGAGTTTTATCTCTAAAAACTGTTTAGCGTATAATGCTAGTAATGGGGGCATTTACTATTAGTAAGTAAAAAGAAATCGCTAGTTTATACCACTAACAAGGCTCAAAATAGCCCCACACTAACACAGTAACATAATGAGGGTCCGTACATGCAAAACGAAGCATTGAGAACTTTGTAAGTGTACAGACCGTTTAATAAGAGGATACTTTATAAAGACAGTTCACTGTGTATACAGACAGGAGCCATCTTGGAAAACAGTCACGACAAGTCAAACCGAGAACGACGTGCCGAGTGAACTGACTGTACTGTATGATCGCTCACCTGCTCACCTGTCTAATAAAGTACATGCAACACTTGCGTCTCTGTCAAATCAAAGTTAGTCGCGGACGTGGAGCTCTCGGATTCTCGAAAGATGTTGATCTTCGTCTTAGTCCTCTTTTTGTCCCAAAGTTGCTTGCCATTGTCCATAATTTTTGAACAAAACAACAGCGTGAGCGTCCTGCTTGGCATAACCCAGTTGTCAACGTCTGTCGCCATGGTTACTATCGCAGTACGAGGTCAAACATGGCGGAAACCGGGGGTAACGTGGATATGACGTCATTGACCGGCGATTCCTCACCCCTGCTCACACAAATTGCAATTTTCTCACGATTTACAAATAGTTTGAAACATTTGGGATATTGTAAGTAATTAGCTAAACAAAATATATAATATTGGCCTAGTGGTTTTTTGATATTTGACTGAAAAAATCCTGCATATTGTACCTTTAAAATCACTAACTGCTCTTGACTGAATAACTTTTGTAGCTTAATAATGAATCGATGTATTTTTAATTCATGTAAAGACAATGCAGTGTTTTAGTTTTACATTTGTTTATTCCTTTTCTGTATTGTTTCTTACTTGAATGCTACAGTTAAATAGATTTAATGTAGGCCTATCTGAATAAACTTAAAGCACTGTTTATTTTATCTGTATTTTTGTTTTATTGTGTTTGTCCTATAGTTGAAATTTGCTTCTTTGTTCTTATTTTTAATAACAAATATACATTAAAATAACAAAAATAACTAATCATCCACACCTAGTTTCAGGTTGTTGTTGTTTTTCCTGGATGTTCTTGATGTTTTCAGGTTTATATAACTATTACCAAGTTGACCAAAGAGTTGTGTCGTATTTAAAAAAAATTTTTTACAGTCACGTTAAAATGGCATTGTCAGATTTGTGACATTTACTTTTTATGTAATGTTAAAACACTGCTGCTCACTTTCAGTTGTAGTGATGCTTTCTTTTTATCCAGAAAGAATGTGAAACATATATTGGTTATATTATTTTCATCATTTTATAGATTTTAAGCAATGTCGAACATCGCATTATTTAACAATTGCATTTTTCTTCAATATCGTGCAGCCCTACTATTCATCTGTCTGTCTGTTTGTTTATCTGTCTTTCTATCCGTCTGCCTGTCTATACGTCTATCCATCTGTCCAACTATTAGAGGTCGACCGATTGATCCGTTTTGCCGATTAATCGGCACCGATAACTGATTGCTGGAACAAGTTATCGGCAAAAATCTATACCGATATCTTTTCCGGGTTGCGTTCGTTTCTGAAGCGTCTGAGAAGAGTCCGCTGTCATTATACAGTACGAAAACGGCCTCTAGAGGCGAAATAAAAACTATCGCTGACGCCTCGTGGAGTAGTTTTGACACGCGAGACTGCACGGAGCGGGACGTTTCAGATGCAGATTTAAAGCATAGACAACGAAACGGTATGTATACAGTACACTACACTACATGTTTTCATATCATTATAAATTTGTTGACTAGATGCTGCATTAGTAGAGAAAGAACAGCAGTATATTCCAGGCTGAGAGGACCCTAACATTAGTAGTACCTCAAGCGGTTAAAAATGTGTGACAAATATATATGCAAATCTGACTCAAATGTTTAGTGTAACAATAGATCAATATTTAAAGCTAGTGACGTGAGAAAGCAAATTGATATGTTCATGCAGCTGACAGAAATTTATTCAAATTCAGTTCTTTTTTTATCATCATAGAAGCAGTGAAAGTATACATATGCATATTTCAATGCTATGGCCTTTGTGCAATCATTTAATAATGGCCTGACTGTTTAGATTTATGTGAAATTGTAACACTTTACAATTCACTAAACATTCAACATTCACTAAAGGCCCGTACACACCGGGACGAATATCAGTGCGTGTTATTCGTCAGCGTTTTTTAACGCGTTTTTTGTGTTCACACCCAATTGATAGCTGACGATGAGCCGAGTGAACATGCAAATTCATTCCGTATATCTTGGCGTATATCTTCTTCTCCGTTCCGTATGTGTGCTCGGCAAGACTGTTTTGTGTTTGAGCGGCCCCAAGTTGTGTTTTACTGTAACTTCAGAAGCTCCAAACACGTGAGCAAAAGCGCCAATCTCATTGGTTGGATAGTTTTGACGCAGCGCGTCAAACTAAAAAAAATAAAAAAACGAACCCGAGGCGTTTTTTTTTTAAATGACACGCGTTTGCATTTTACAAATCTTTCTATCCGTCTGCCTGTCTAGCTATGCATCTGTCTATATGTCTATCCATCTGTCCAACTATTAGAGGTCGACCGATTGCGCCAAACGTTTGTTTTTTAAATGACGCTTAGAACGCAGACAGATAGAAAGATTCAAATTATTTAAAAAAAAAAACGCCTCGGGTTCGTTTTTTTTTTTTTTTTTTTTAGTTTGACGCGCTGTGTCAAAACTATCCAACCAATAAGATTGGCGCTTTTGCTCATGTGTTTGGAGCTTCTAAAGTTACAGTAAAACACAACTTGGGGGCGCTCAAGCACAAAACGGTCTTGCCGAGCACACATACGGAACGGAGAAGAAGATATACGCCAAGTAGCATCGCCGTCTACACCATAGATATCTATACAAAGGCTAGATGTCTTAAGGCGGAGTTTCTATCGTCATCACCAGCGGCCATCTTGTCACAGGCAAGATAATGGAAGATGAGTGGTCAGGACGAACACAAATACTCTTATCTCGTTGAAATCTTGACGGATTTACAAACGGTTTGGTTTCTTACAAACGTTATTGACGTGGCTATAATTATCTGGATGATTTTTTATTTATTCATAAGTATGCAGTGTCATAACTACATCTCTGATGTTTATAACAAACCAAACCGTTTGAAAATCGGTAGACAATTGAGCAAGTTATGGTTATTTAAATAGTACATATACCATTAACACAATGTTACGAGTGAGGGAGCTGCTTGTGACAAGATGGCCGCCAGGTGCAGACGTCGACCTCCATTGGCCAACAGCGCTGACGAGATATCTAGCCTTTATATAGATATCGATGGTCTACACTGCCAGGAAGAGGAAGAGGCAAGATGTGCACACTCACATTGGCACCCTTTGTTTAGTCACGAGGCATTAAACATCGGCAAATAACGCGCGCGAAATTCGTCCCGTTGTGAACAGGCCTTAAGGTTAATAAATGCTGTGGAAGTATTTTTCATTGTTAGATCATTATTTTCAACATATACTAATAGATTTTTAATGTTCAAATTGTATCTGTTAACACTATGAACTAACATGAATGATTAAGGTATATTTAACATATTAACATTCATTCATATACATTTGTGTAATCTAATGTAATAAGTTAATACAATTGTTGTAGTAGGGTTCAGCAGTAGTTTACTAGAGTATTTTGTTTGTTTTCATTCAGTATGTATCAGTAAAACTATCGGTTTGTGTGTTTCTCGAAAGCATGCATCATTAGCCTTGCAAGTTCTGTCGGTTGTTCAACAAGTCGGTGTTTCAACAAGTCGTTCAACAAGTCGTCGAATCAGTTGTTCAAGTCGGTGTTTCCTGAAACTATAGTTCTAATGAACATTTGCAAATAGCATCGAAAGTTGTGTGGCTGGAACGACAGCTCTCAACCTGTGGTTAGAAGCAGAGTTTCTTGTTTGCATGACACGTGGACTCAATAAATCCTCATCTTGAGCAAAACAAGCAAGCTGACATTCAGTACAACCCGTCTTTAGTTTAGAATGCATACAAGTGTCATTTACATCTTTTAGATTGTCAAGAGATTTAGAGTACTGTTTTTGAAGAGTGCATGTGAGAACGTGCTCTACTATGTAAGCCTATGATTCAATCTGGAAATAAAGCAAAATAAAAAATTATTCTAAAAAAATGAGAAATTGCTCTGAGATGGCATGTCCGTAATTTATAGCAAAACATCTAGCATTAATTCAATCTCAAACAGATTCATTAAAGGAAGGTATTACTCCCAACACCTGCGTGACGACATTAACCAACATGGCTGAACGACCAATTTGCGACAATATGGTTGCGGGAAACAGTTGCTTTCTTTAATGATGCATCGTACTACGGTAGTGAAGCAGAAAGTTAAGTCACTTAACGGGAAACTCACCCCAGGGCGGTCCAACCTAGTTATCGTTATCGGCAAAATACACAATCTGGCGATTTCTACTACTATCTATCCGTCTGTCTTTGTCTCTGTATGTATGTATGTCTGTCTGTCTATCTGTATCTATCTATCCATCTGTCTGTCTGTTGCCAACTAGCTTGCAGATGAAAGCCTAAAAGGAAATAATTGTGTTGATCCGTAAATTAATTGACCTATATGACTTGAAATAGCATGGCTAGTTTGCTGCACGTATTGTGCTGAATGACCAAATGTCCAATGTCCAAACCAAATGTCTTTTAGTGGCATCTTGGTTTCTGTCATCCACATATAAGAGCCATTGAAACACTGTCACTCGCAGCTGCTGCTTTCCCCACCCCGTCACCAAACGCAGCACAAGACAAGCCACTTCAAATTACTGTGCAGTGTGTTCCAGCTTCACTGACCGTCTGTTTTTCCCTTCCTTAATAAAGATGTCCCACTCTAGCCGCATGGACCCTTCCCACAATCCCCTTCAACAGCAGCAGCAACAGCAGCATCAAGCTCTCCATGGTAACTCGGGCATGGGTGGCCCCGGTGGACCCATGCACTCCCGCAACTCCTCCCAGAATCCCCGGATGCACACAGACAGCTTTGGGCTGGGGGGCCCCGGGGGGCCTGGTGACGTTCCAGAGCCGCCACTTGATGTGAGTCACAATCAATCATCTATTCCAGATCGAACACTCGTGATTTTTGGCCATTTGAATTGGAGTTTCACTCCGTGTACATCCTGTACCAACTTATGATTTCCTTGCCAACCCTTCCCGCAATAATTTAGGTCCTGTTTTTGCAATTCATTATGCTTAAAACTTTTGGATAATGGTCATTCCCACATTTGCATTTATGAACTATTTTGGATTGTGTCATTTTCAGTAATAGGTCTCTACTCTTAAAGGATTAGTTCACTTGTGAAAAAACTTTTGCCGATAATGTACTCACCCCCATGTCATCCAAGATGTCCATGTCCAGGTTTTTGATGAAAATATTCCAGGATTTTTCTCCATATAATGGACTTCAATGGGAACCAGACGGATAAAGACAGTTAATAACAGTTTCAGATGGAGCTTCAAATGTCTTTAAACGACACCAGACGATGAATAAGGGTCTTATCAAGCAAAACGATCGGTTATTTCAAAACTTATTTCAAAAATGTAACTTTTCTAAGGACAAATGCTAGCCTTGCTCTATTCTGTGAGGCGCGTTTGTAACGTCACGTAATACGTAATTACGTTCAAAAGGTCACGGGCGACGTAGCCGGAAGTACAGAATCAAAATCGTTCGACATCGTTGTTTTACCTTTTAATTCCTTTTTTTTTGTAAATGGCGTTTGAGTTAGTTTGCACGTTCAACCTATGCGTTCAACTTAAACACTGACTTTGTACTTCCGGCTACGTCGCCCGTGACCTTTTGAACGTAATTACGTATTACGTGACGTTACAAACGCACCTCACAGAATAGAGCAAGGCTAGCATTTGTCCTTAGAAAAGTTACATTTTTGGAATAAGTTTTGAAATAACTGATCGTTTCGCATGATAAGACCCTTATTCATCGTCTGGTGTCGTTTAAAGACATTTGAAGCTGCATCTGAAACTGTTATTAACTGTCTTTTGGACCTCGGACCGTCTGGTTCCCATTGAAGTCCATTATATGGAGAAAAAACCTGGAATCAAAAACCTTAATTTTTTTTCGACTGTGGAAAGAAAGACATGGACATCTTGGATGACATGGGGGTGAGTAAATTATCAGCAAAAGTTTTTTCAAAAGTGAACTAATCCTTTAAGGTGTGGTCACATTTACCGTTGCTCAGTGAAATCCCATGGGAGAAATACCAAGTTCAGTCTTGAAACTCTTTATATGCGGTTCATTACCCAATTAATCACTTCTATCTACTGTCGCCTTTATATTCTAGTCTGGCTAGATGGAGCTCAGTTTGTGCACTATATAGTCCCGGTCCACCCCGGCACCACTTCTCTAGATCTGCTATGGGGGTCTCTATAGTTTTACTACAATGCATGCAAGTCTCAGCAGCTGCGTGTTTTCTTCTTTGTATTTCTTGTGGTTTAGCAGAGTGAGCAGTAGCAAATCTAATCTGCCAAAACCAACCCTTTTTACATTTACAATTCTATTTCTCATTAACAAAATGTCTTACAAACTATTACTTAAAGGAGTAGTTCACTTTTCAAAAAACTTATATAATATTATAATGATAATTTACTCACCCCCATGTCATCCAAGATGTCCATGTCTTTCTTTCTTCAGTCGAAAAGAAATTAAGATTTTTGATGAAAACATTCCAGGATTTTCTCCATATAATGGACTTCAATGGGAACCAAACGGTTCAAGGTCCAAATGACAGTTTCAGTGCAAACTGTTCAAAGGGCTTTAAACGACACCAGACGATGAATAAGGGTCTTATCAAGCGAAACGATCGCTCATTTAAAATAAAATAACAAAGTTTAAGTTTTATAAGCTCAAATGGTCGCCTTGCTCTGTTCTGTGATGCACGTTCGTGACTCTCCTGTTTCAACTCGTTCATCAAAATTAACAAATCTTTTCCGAGTGAATTCATTAATTTCGTTCATTGTATGAATCAAATGACTCGAAAAAAGATTTGTTCATTTTAATGAACGAGTTCGAACAGGAGAGTCACGAACGTGCATTATATGGAGAAAATCCTGGAATGTTTTCATCAAAAAAAAGAAAGAAAGACATGGACATCTTGGATGACGTGGGGGTGAGTAAATTATCAGCAAAAGTTTTTTTCAAAAGTGAACTACTCCTTTAACACCAGTCATTCCATTAGGAATCAGTTTCGCCTGAGGGCAAAGGAAATCACGAAAATGTTGCTCATGCTAATTTGCTGCGCCGACTGACAGAAAGCTGCTTGGTTTGAACATGACCTCTGTGTGAGCTGTGCTTAATGCATCTCTACGCCATTGACAATAGACGATGCTTTTGCCTGAACTAATGCTAATGTGACATCACCTTTAAAGGGGCGGTCACACTACGCTTATCATTCCATTCATACCAAGGGGGTAATCCATCGCCTGGAAGTTGAAGCCTCGCGGGAGCTGACATCTTGTAGCAGAACTTCACTTGCGTTAGCATTCCCATTGACTCCCATTCATTTTGGCGTCACTTTGACAGCGAATAACTTTACATCTGAGGCGTTTGAAGACCCCATTTGTCCTTTATTTATTTCTAAAGAAACAAGACAATGTATAAAATGCTCCATTACCTTGTAGCTTATGGTATGGCCCCGTAGAAGCAGTTTTAGTGAAAGTAGGCTAACGATTGCGTCATACCCACGCGGGTATGCTCTCTGTCGCACAGTATTGAGATTACCATATGGACATGAGAAGTATATCCAAAATGACAAAATAATTAATCAGAAAACCTAGCAAAATTGTCTCCTCCTAGCTCATGGACAGCTCCTACTCACACTCTCCGCCTCTGCGAGTTTCAGGAAGGGAATGATTCAGATTTCTCATACTACAACACTAGAAGACAGACGGGTCACTCACATCACATTCACGTAGTCAAGCTCTGTTTGAGTCTGCGCGTCAGGGACGGAAGTGCTAAAATCGCCAAAAACGGGCTTCAATCGTCTCAATGGAATTCCAATAAGATCGCTCTGTCCTTTTCTTTTACCGTCTATGATTCATACACACATGAATGCTGGAGAGCGGAAAGGCAAGTTTCGCATTTCGGCCCATTCCAAAGTTCGTATCACGGGAAGATGTGTGACCAATCGAAGATGGAGAAGTCACTGGGCGACCTCTTGGTTTAATTAGAAGAATGCACATTTTTTGCAGTAAAGTGGAGTAGATTGTATATTTTTACTTTCTAGATTTATTATTTGTTATGTGTAGAATTTGTGTTTATAAAGATATCACGTCATGTCAGGAAGTTTCACATGTCTAGTGTGACCATAACTGCGAATGGGCCTAGTGAATATTTGAACGGCTCTCTGACTCCGATTTTTTTATTAATTAATTGCTGCAAACAGTTCAATTAAGTATAACTGTGTAATAATAATGCAGGCCTCTACTTTTAACCATAATTGAATGTTTATTAATGTCTTTTGAAAAGCCAACTAATGTTACGATCACAAGCTGAGAGTTTTGCCATGGGCCCAGTCTTAACCCCTGGACTTCCCTTTTTGTTTTCCAGCTTCTCCCAGAGCTGACAAACCCAGATGAGCTGCTGTCCTACTTGGGTCCTCCCGACCTTCCCAACAACAGTAACGATGACCTGCTCTCTCTGTTTGAGAGCAACTGAGCCCCTTCTCCCTTCTTATTCATCACCGTCCAACAGACAGCCTCCCCGATCCCGCACACTCCCGGCTCGTCGAGGGGAGGTCTGGAAAGCGTAACAGATATCCGATTGCGTCTTTGCACTGTTTCCTTCTGAGACTGGAATGCAGTGACTCATGGGAAGGTGCAACGAAGATCTTTTTTCTTTTCTTTTTTTTCTTCCTCCTGTGACAATGTTATTGTTCGTCTGCTTCTCTGAACTCTGTCGAGACTTTATTGTGAATTTCAGTTTTGAAAGAATTCCTGCTCTCTCGAATCACTTGTAGAAAGACGCCTCATCTCACATCAGACTCGTGTGGTGTAAATGACATTCTGTGTGTGTGTGTGTGTGGAGGGGGGGCGGGGTCAAGTCATTGTTTGTTTTTCATTGCAGCTCCTGTTTTAAATCGAAATTAGATGAGGGACTACTTCAGAAATAACACGGGGAAAGCCAAAGTGTCTCACTTCTGTTGTAACTTGAAAAGCAAACATGGCTAAACTTAATTCTCTTAATAAACAGGCAGGCTTAAGTTTTATTTCTTCTTTTTTTTAATTTTTCCTCCCAAAGATAACCACAAAGCTAGCTCTATGTGATTTAACATGGTTTTAAACCACAAATGACTTAATCCTAAATGTACTTGACTTGAGACCTCAAGTGTAGCCTTTTTTTCCTTTTAAACATGCTAATAGAGGCAATAACGATGTGTCCGACCTTAAAAAGTAGCATGAAAGAAGTGCACTATGACATTTTGCACAACACGTGTCTGCCAGCACACGAAGGAAAAGGCAAAGAATCAGTAACCTTTTGTGACACACACACAAATACGTTCACGCACACCTCAAGCCACACTGTGTGTGTGTGTGTGTGTGTGTGTATTTTGGCACAAACTCATGCCAATAGACCAACTTAATGCCACACCCTGCTCTATGTTTTTGTCTGTCTCGTTAGTTTTTTTCCCCTCTGTTCTTTTTAAAAACGGTCTTCCTCCCCTGTGGATTTTGAGGCCACGATGTATGTGGATGTCTACCATTACAAGAAAGGACTAGTATCCCTGATCGTCGTTGGCTCAGATCACACCCTCACTTGCAGACGCATTTCACTCGCCCTTAAATATGCAAGTTTGGGCTGTTATTTGGTAGAAAACGAGTTTTCTTTGTCAACAAATTGTGTGAAACCATACAGAGCACAAGCAGCCCAGTAGCACCTTGTTGACAGGTTACAAAACACAAAAATGCACACGAGGAGTCACAAACAGGGCGTTTTTTTTTTTTATTGTTTTTTTTTTTGGACACATACCTTCCCGTAGTGAGATTTTGCTTGGACAAATCTGGGTGGGTGGGAGCGTCACAACAGGTAATGGACTAATGTTTATAGCCGCACTCATAATTGAGAAGGAAAACATTGGGATTCATGTGAAATATGTACAGATATAGTATTATTATTGTCGCAGATGTGAACTTTCTCTTAACCCCATGATATGGAAAAAAAGAACATTTGAAACACTATGACAAGAGCTCATGTCAGACATGCGCTTCATTCCCCCCGTTTTCCATTCAGCGCTCGCTTTCTCAGCAGAGAAACCGTGGAGGGGAGATGAGTCTGCTGTCGGTTCCTGTCTTGTCCGATTTTATTATTTATCATCGCTCTTTGGGCACCGTTAGCGAAGTGCAGTTTGTATATTATCAATACAGGGAGCATCATGAGTCGACGGATGTGCTTTTGTTCTTTTTTCCGTTTGTTTGAAGTCATTTGTGTATCATACAATTTTATCTTTGATTATATAATAATTGTTATTATAATTATAAAGATAATTGATGGGCCTGTATGCATCTCTCTCTCTCTCTCTCTCTTCTGTGTTAACTAGCAGAGTTTATGAATTTGTTAGAAAGAGAAAAAAAAAGAATTCATCAAAATCTGTGACCATAATCATGAAAAACTGAGAAACCAGCATCACTTGTTGATCAAACTGTTGAAAAAGATGTTTGACTGTCATGTGTTGGTGGATCATTAAGTTCTATCAATTGAATTAAACATGTACAATTGAAATCGATTTGTTTTTCTAAAGATGTGAAATATTTCCATTATGTTTTATAAGTAAAGAGTTAAGCCCCATTGCGTTTCATTGGCTTTATTTGAAGAGAGCAGAAGCAGCACCGCATGGTGTCAAGACGCGGTAACGCTGCTCAAGGGGCCTGTGCGGAAGACGGGTGTTCTGAGGGGAAAAGAAGGCTTTTGCGATTAATTTCGCTTTATATCTTACTGTGTCACGTTTCACCTCTTGGTTAATCCTAAACTATGTAATAAATGTAGAAAATCCCTAAATATAGTCTTCATAACATTCGTTATTCGTGAAACAATCTTGAGCAGTAATGGCGAATTCAGCTTTTGGCCACCGCCCTCGCGCTGAAACGGATCGCTAGTACACGCCCTCAGCATTCCCTCGTCGTTCATTGGGTGGAACGCAGTAACGTCATTTCTACCAACTCCAACGGGCCAATGGGGATGTCAATCAAACACACTCCCTCTGATCTCCTCGTTCGAGCGCTGCGATAATTAATTCATCCGCACGGCCTCTGATTGGATGACGCGCACGTCATTCAGCGGTTCCACGGCTTCATAGGTCCCAATTGAAAAAAGGGTCTGCTAGCAGCTTCTATATATCCCGTTATCGCACGCATCCTACTTCCCGATGAGCTGCGGCATTTTGTAGGATTCATTCGGTGACCAGCTGCTAATACAAATTGTGTTTTTGTCATCATGGCCAAGCCCAGAGTTTATTTTGACATCACCGTCGATGGAAAGAGTGCTGGGAGGATTGTAATGGAGGTAGGTAACAAAAATGATTGTGTTGCTTAATATCTACTGTTTTAACATTACGCCTTAAAAAAAAAATCTGTCGTGTTCGTCCATTAAAAAAAAATCTATGTTCAATTCTTGCGCGTGATGTAACTTGTATGAAGCATCCTCACCTTGCAATGGGCGGATGGGGAAGCAGTTTTTTCCCGCGCCGGACTGCAACAATGCTTCCATTCGCAGTTGTTTAGGTGCTACATTGTGAAAATTGAACGCTTTCGTCATTCTGATGCTTCTCAATAACATCTAGAAAATGAGTTGTGCTGCTGTCGTTGACAGGAGACTGACAGCTAAGCGCACATGGCCAAGTTTTCTCTGATTGCAGACGCAGACTGCGCGTGAGTTGCGCTGCACGCGTTTTTTATTTTTATGCAGACGCCATTTTCACAATTTTTTCAAAGCCCCAAGGTGCCATTTTGAAAAGGGAGGGGTGAATGCTGGAGTTTGGCCGAAACTTGTTCACCAGAACTCAGTACTTTAAATGTTCAGAGTTTATTAATAAGATTTTAATCCCCTCTTGAAATGGTACCGCAGAAATGTCGATAAATGTGCACGTGCAGTATCAGCACCTCGCGCGCCCTCGCTAATGTAAATCGATGTTGACGCGGAAGTCATGGGATTTTAACCCGTTCTGGTCCGAAACATCTTTGTTGGCGTTACTAAGTTAAAGATAGAAACAGGTCACTAGCTCCTTACTTTATCAGCAACAAGAAATAACAATGCGGATATGCTCTATTTAGATATCATGTATATCTCCGTATTTGATTTGGAATCACTTCAGTGATTGCATTTGATTGGTCTTTGTTTAAAATGTGTCATAAAAGGAAGGTTATGCTCTAATAGTCTATCTTCGTTATGCAGTTAATTTGCAAAACATACTGGAAATAAGTTTTTTATATGCGGTTTCATGCATTACACTTGCTTAAAGGAGTAGTTTACTTATAAAAAAAAACTTGCTGATTATTTACTCGCCCCCATGTCATCCAAGATATCCACGTCTTTCTTTCTTCAGTCGAAAAGAAGTTAATTCCAGAATTTTCTCCATATAATGGACTTCATTGGGAACCAAACGGTTCAAAAGAGTGTTCAAAGGGCTTTAAACGACACCAGACGATGAATAAGGGTCTTATCTAGGAATCTTTGAGTCATGACTCAAAAAGATTTGTTCGTTTTGATGAATGAGTTTGTCACGAATGCTCATCACAGAGCAAGGCGAGCATTTGTGCTTCTGAAACATGAATTGTTTTATTTATTAAATGGCCACTCATTTCTCTAGATAAGACCCTCATTCATCGTCTGGTGTCGTTTAAAGCCCTTTGAAGCTGCACTGAAACTCTTAATTTGGACCTTGAATCATTTGGTTCCCAGCAAAGTCCATTACATGGAGAAAACCCAGGAATGTTTTCATCAAAATCATTTATTTCTTTTCGACTGAAGAAAGAAAGACGTGGACATCTTGGATGATATGGGGGTTAGTAAATTATAACCAATTTTTCTTTTTAAAGTGAGCTCCTTTAAATGTACTGATGTGAATATCTATGGAACACAAGTGAGATGCCCAAAACTTTTTATTATATATATATATATATAAAAAAATCACTCGTCCATTGATGCACACACACACACACACACACACACACGTGTATTTATTAATATATGTGCGTTTCTGCTTGGATTTCAGCTTAATTTCTTTTTCTTGTTTTCCCCTTCTATTTAAATAGCTGAGAGCTGATGTTGTCCCCAAAACTGCTGGTAAGCATACCTCCACATTAAATTGGTTTATTATGACCATGTTAACGTTCTCTTCTCATTTAAATTCTATTTGAACTTAATATTTTTTTTCTGAGACCACGTTTTCTTACCGCTTCGCCGATTTATTGCTAGAAATACTGAGCTTTCCACAGACATTGGCCCTGTTCTGAAGTTTATTGCTATACTAATGTGAACTTTAACATGCATGCATAATTTTGCTGTAATAATAGGCTCATTTATTACTGTACAGAGACTGCCCAACATTAATGTTTGGTTAGAAACTTTAGCTTCTAGTTACACATTAATGACTCCACACAGAGAACTTCCGTGCGCTGTGCACTGGCGAGAAAGGTATCGGCTACAAGGGCTCCGGCTTCCACCGCATCATTCCGGGGTTCATGTGCCAGGTAAGCTCTGAGCCCTGTGATGTCATCAGAGTCTGTGGTTGACATCACGCTGATGTCATGCTCTCGTCACGCAGGGCGGCGACTTCACCAACCATAACGGAACTGGTGGAAAGTCCATCTACGGCAACAAGTTTGAGGATGAGAACTTCACCCTGAAGCATGGAGGGAAGGGGACCCTGTCCATGGCCAACGCCGGACCGAACACCAACGGTTCCCAGTTCTTCATCTGCACCGCTAATACCTCTTGGTAAAGCCCTTCTTTGGGACTTTGTGCCCTTCTGCCGTCTAGCGGATTTCGTGTTTACGTTTTGGTGATGTTGGTGCTGAAGCTCCCTAATTTCTGGTTTCTCGACGAACAGGCTCGATGGCAAGCACGTCGTGTTCGGGCAAGTGGTGGAAGGCATTGATGTGGTGGATGCCATGGAGAAGAAAGGAAGCAGCAGCGGGAAGTGCTCTGCCAAGGTCGTGATCGCCGACTGTGGCCAACTTTAATCGTCGCTCACACCTCCTTCCCATCCCAACCATGCACATTCCTTACTAAATAGATTTCTTTTTTTATTGCCATTCCTGAATGAGATGCTTATTCCATGTGTCATGGTCCTGTTTTATGTATTCCAACGGTCCCCAGGGCTTAATTTGTTAAACATGGATTAAAGATGGATCAAGATTCCTTTCAACATGTTTTCGTATTCTTTCATTAGAACAGACAGCTCAGCTCATTTGTTGCTGAGCAATCCAGAGATCTTTGATTTCTCAATGTGCTGTTGTGTTTTTGTAATATAGGAGTCCATTAAAGTCTGTTTTGGTTCCAAAATGGCAGCGTGCTGCTGCAGTTGTTTCTGTTGACCAGCAGGTGGCGCCCTGCTTGCTTCACCAGTGCAGAGGTTCACTAAAACAATCTTTACTTGAAAATGAACGTTCATTGAAAAAAAAAACATGAGATTTTTTTTTCTTAGCAAATAGTTTCATTGTTTAATTACAAATTTAACTAAAACTATAAAAATAATTACACATAAACGATTAATAAATTAAAATGCATCCTAAAAAAATCAATAGTAAACTATTTCATTATTGCAATGATGCTAAAATAAGTCACTTTGAAAATAAACATTAACTGACAAAATTAAGCATTTTATTTTAGATAGTATTTTTATTGTTTAATTTGATTTACTAAAGTAAATTAATAAAAATAAGAAATGAATAAAAACTAAACATACCAAATTACTAAAACTTTAAAATAAAATATTACTAAAAACAAATCAATAACAATAACTATTTCAGTATCGCAATGATACTAAATTAAAAAATTTTGTTAAATAAAATCCAACGATGAAATCTTAGTGTAAGATGTTAAAAATGAACAGCATGAGCCCAGAAATATGCACATTGTTTGAAATAAGCGTGTTTCTGTCTCTCTAAAGTGTAAGGAATATTTTCCATATTAACACATGACACCAAATAAAGAAACTCGCAATATTTATCGTGTGTGAACCTTTTTAACCACATATACAAAAACTTTACAAAAAATGATGTATTACAACAACAGCAGTGTTTTTAAATCGAGTCCATTCGCTTGAACTCTAACGTTACAAGGTTTCTATGTCCGAGCCTCTTCACTGAAGGTGTTAAAGCAACTCATCCAGCAAGTTTCCCGGGCTGTGTGTTTGTCCCAGAGCAGCGCTGATGGGGTTATCGTTGCACATGGGACATGAACATCTCACTTCCAGCCACTTCACCAGACACCTGGTGAGACAGAGCATCAGAACTGCTGTCCTGAAACTAGTCTGGCCGTAAGTAGTCTTTTCCTCAATGTCATTAACATGATAAAAGGGATTTACCTCTTGTGAAAGGAGTGTTGGCATGGTAACACTCCGAGCTCGTCTTTCGTCCTGAAGTCCTCCAAACAAACTGCACATGTTAACTGAGAAACGCAGTGTGTAAGAGGGGGAAATCAGAACGCTTTCAAAACTTTCTAAATAGTCAAGAAGGTGTTTTACCCCATGTTCATGTAACCGCGACGTTTCATCTTTAAATACGACCTGTAATTTAAAACATGCTTTAAATGATAGTGGCACCAAAAAAGTATATACACACTTAAAA